TTTTTTTTTTTTTTTTTTTTTTTTTTTGGTACTGGGGATCGAACTCGGGACCTTGTGCTTGCAAGGCAGGCAGTAGAACCACTGAGCTAAATCCTCAGCCCCATAATCCTGTTTCTGAGGGCAGGTGGATTAAAATTTTAAATTTGTTCATCTCCAAGTATAAAGTCTGAAAATACAGGGCTATTAGAGAATGTTTATTGGGATATTATCTGATATTCATGTCTGTTTGCCATATATTTTTCCAAAAGTATTCTCTGAAGATCAAATATAGTAAATCCCAAAATTTTAAAATTTCTGGGAGTGAACATTAGCAACAGTTTTAAAGATCAGAATACTGTCAGTTATACCAGATTTTAAAAATGATTGATGTTCATAGCAACCAGAGTCTGACTTCAGTTGCTAAACCATTGATCCTGTAATAACCAGGTTAGATGCCTAAGCACAAAGGGACAAGCACCGATTTTGCATCCTGTACTAAACACCCCTTTTTCTTTCTTTTAATGATGTCATTAGGAGTAATTACTTCTTGTGGTAAGAAGTTAAAAAGAATATAATTAATATCTAAATTTAGTCCTTTGGATGACTATGCCAGTGTTTGTAAAAAGAGAATCTTACTTAAGCTGATTTTGACTTGGGTTTGTGATAGAATCAACAACATATTTCTCTAGCTATTTTGAAAACTCAGTTGTCAATTCTGTTCATTGCAAAAGGGTACCAGCCTGAAGTAGAGCCTCCTAAAATGTTCACAGAATAGAGAAAATTGTATGTTTTAATCTGCTCTGCATGTCAGTTTTTCAGAAGCCCATTTCAGCCCACTTAGTACACACCATTAAAACCCATGTTTTGCCATTGCCACCTCCTATTTGTTCCTGTGTAGTCCCTATATTCTTTGAAGTCTCCAAGACAGAAGAACACAGCATCCTCTCTGCCTCAAGCTACCTTTTCCCATAACTAGCCTTAAAAACTCAGTAAAAGGAGCATGAACAAGGAAATAGAGAAACACATGGCTTTTAAGCTAATTGCCCATATTCTTTAGGCCCACTTCCATATTTTTATAACCTTTACTTATATTTAGAGATAAATACTAGTTTACTCAGAGCTTAAAGCTTTTCTAGTAATGATACAATATTTATCATACTGCCATCTTAAACAAGTGCAGTGGTATTTACAACTAATTGATCACAGCCAGTTACAGATTTCTTTGTTCCTTCTCTATTCCCACTGCTTCTCTTGACTTAAAAAACTGGCCAAAAAAAAAAAAAAACCAAAAAAACAATGGACAATGGTGTATAAATCTTTTGGTTTTTATTTTAAAATTATCCATGCACATAATTCATAGGGTCAAATACTTGTACAAGGCATGTTACAGAAAAGAATAATCTTCTGCCTCCCTCTCTCCTCTCATTTTCCCCAACCTTGGGACAGCCTCTTTTAACTCTGATTCTCTTTTTCCCTAAACAAATTAATTGGCCATTCCCCACCACCACCACCAGGGCTCAAACTCAGGACCTTGCACTTGCGAAGCATCCACAGCACCACTGAGCTAAATCCCCAGCCCTAATTGGGCATTTCTTGACTTTTCAGTTTTAAGTAGTAACTGTTGTTTTCCCATTATAGAATATGAAAATTTAGCTATCATTTATTGAACTATGCTTTCCCTCCTATACCTCTCCCCTATCTCATATACCTGAATGCTCTCTGTTGTTATTTTAAAAAAAAATTTTTTTTTATTTTGCTTTTGTTTTTTTGAGACAGGGTCTCACTATGTAGTTGAGACTAACCTGGAACTCACTATGTAGGCCAGGCTGGTCTTGAACTCACAGCAGTCCTCCTGCCTCAGCCTCTTGAGTGCTGGAATTACAGGTGTATGCCACCATGCCCAGTGATTCTTTGTTATTTTATAATTGTATTAGATCTTTTTAGTCACTGAATTTTGTGGCTAGGAGGGGTGAGGAAGTGGTACTTTGTATTGAATCTAGGGCCTTCAGTCTGAGCTACATATATCTCCAGCCCTTTTATTTTGAGACATGGTCTCAGCTAAATTGCTATGTTGCTCAGGGTGTGCTTGAACTTATGATCCTCCTGCCTCAGCCTCCCAGAGTGCTGGGATTACAAGCATACACCCCTATGACCAGCTTCTTGAATCTCTGAATTTATGTCTTTGACCATGTTTGGCAGGTTTGGGCTACTATTTCTAGTGGAAAGTTTGAGATTATTTCCTAGACAACTACAAGTTATCTAGATTTTCTCGTGGTCATATGCATCAGACAGTGTGTCACTTTAATCTTCTGGACAGAGTTATCCCAGAGTCCTCTATCCTGCTTGTCTGGTGTATGGCTCATATCTTAGGATCTTCCTTCTGTACCAATCTGGATATTCCCTTTGCCTTTCTCTCGAGTTGGTTCCTATACCTCATTATCTTCTTGATCTGTTCTCTTGTTTTGATATGATACATCCTTCAGTAACTTCTGAAGAAAACGAGCATGGGTGGTATAATTTTTGAGACCTTATATGTCTGAAAATTTGTTTTCCTTTCACATTTGACTAATAGTTTAGCTGGGTTTAGCTATTGCTCCATTGTCTTCTGACTTCCAGTGTTTCTGTTAAAAGTCTAAAGTAATTCTAATTCCTGGACCTTAGTGTGTATAGTTTCTGGGTTTGTTTTGTTTTGTTTTTGGTACTGGGGATCAAACTTGGGACCTTGCCCTTGGGAGGCAGGTGGCGGTACCTCTGAGCTAAATCCCCAGCCCTGTTTGTATTTTTCTTATTTATTTAGGTAGGTAGGTAAGGGTTCTGGGGACCAAACCCAGAGTCTTGGCAAATGTCAGGCAAGACTACCTCTAAGCTACACTCCCAGCCTTGTTTTATTTTTAAACCTATTTCTACGTAGTCTCTGTTCCTCTGTGCGTGTGTGTGTGTGTGTGTGTGTGTGTGTGTGTGTGTGTGTGCTTGCAGAGAGAGAGAGATGCATAGATTCAGCTAGGTGTCTAATTTTTGTGTTAAAGGCTTTCCTCCTTACCTGATGATCTTGGTTGTCTGTTCATATTTCAGAATTAGGCACTGAAAAGTTATGGAATCCTCTTAATGTGTGATGGAACTTTCCTTTCTCTGGGAACTGTGACCCAGTCCAAGACAAATGATCTAATGATTTGTTGTTGGGAGTAGGGGAATTTTCCCAATGAAACAGCCCAGTTAGATCCCATCTATTTATAGTTTTTAAGCAGATATGAATCATTACCTGAAAGTTTTTACTCTAATGAAGACTACCTAATTCATTAAATATTTTAGTGTTATAGGAGAGTCACTGTTTAAAAAGCAGTCATCGCTATCCTGTGTCCTTATCATTCTGTTGGTTTACATTTCCATTGAATTACTCAACTGATTTCTGGTGGACCAGACTGAAATAAGTCCTGTATGGTCAAGGTTGTTGTTCTTGTGTCACTGGGGATAGAACTGACGGCCTTGGCACATGCTGGACAAGTGCTGTACCATTGAGCTATATGCCCCAGCCCTTTTTAAAAATTTTATTTCAAACAGGGTCTCATTAAGTTGCCCAAGCTGTCCTCAAACTTGTAATCCTCCTGCCTCAGCCTCCCAAGCAGCCAGAATTACAGGTGTGTGCCATCCTGTATGGTCAGTTCTTAGGGGGTACTTGTCAGTTAGGTTGTCTATTGCTGGATCCCACTGGGAACAGATTGCTTAACTTGGTCATCTCTGTGCTTCAGCACGCTGCTCAATTTGAGCTAGTATCCTTCAGCTTGATCACATTTGCCTTGAAGAGAAGATAGCAGTGAACTTTTCAAAGAAATCTGTTAAGTAGTGGGTCACGTCAGCATCAGAGATCATTCACTCACCAGTAGACACGATAGGGTCCTTTTGTTTAATCCAACCCAGGCGCATAGTTAGTCTTATTAAGCCAGGCTGGTTAGTACAGCTTTGAGGATTTAGTATTTATTCCCCGTCTTTATCATTATTCATTCAGTATGTCTCATTCATCTATTCACCTGACATTTTTCAAGATTCTGGGACGTAGGGATTCACAGTCCACTAGGAGAGATAGCTTTAATGACCTGATCAGTCCTGAGCTGGAAGGGTGTGTGTAGTGCTGAGAGAGCAGAAGGAAAATGTTCTGACTTCTGGGAGGTGAGGAAGGCAGGCCCAGGGAGACATTTATGTCCACAGCATCTCAAGGTTTTTTACTTTCCCTGCAAACTCTTTGACATTTTACCCAAAAGCATAAAGGATTCTTAAACTCTGCAAAATCTTTCTTGGGAGGCTGAGGCAGGAGAATGGGTTGAAGCCTAGCCTGGGCAGCTTAGTGACTTAGCAAGACCCTGTCTTAAAATGAAAATATTTTAAAAGGAGTTGGGGATGTAGCTCAGTGTGAGGGCCCTGAATTCTGTCCCCCGATCACAAAAGAAAAGAGTGGTAAGGGGTTGGGATGTACTTCAGTGGTGGAGCATCCTTGGGTTCATCCCTGGTGCCACACACACAAATAAATAAAAGCAAATTCTACAAAAATTTTATCCCAGATAATCCCAGATATATTAATTTTTAATGACAAATGGCTATGTAAAAATTTTTCTTAGCAGGGCATGGTGGCACACGCCTGTAATCCCAGTACTCAGGCTGAGGCAGGTGGATTGCTGAGTTCAAGGCCAGCCTGGGCTACATAGTTTCAAAAATATACTTTAAAAAATTTTATGTATTTGTATATAAACTTAATTTGTGGAAGATTGTTTAACTGTCTCATTAAATGGCATCCTTTATTTGTTTATTGGGGATTAGGAGGGTAAATAAGTGGTCAACTTAGGGCATATTATTATGATTTTCAGTTATTTCAGTACTAGTATAACTCATGGTACAAAGATTGACTTTTTAGAAAAACTTCATAGAATTTAAAATGTTAAGTCTTGAAAGTGACAGTTGAATTGGGATTGCCAATGAGTGGTGGCATAGATACTTTGGGGGTTGTTTTAACCAAAAAATAAAACTATGTACATACATAAAATCTTTACTTTTCACAAGCTTTGGATTAAGAAGACACGCTGAGTATCAGAAAAATGTTAAATTCTGCCAAAGCTTCAAAATAATGAACTAGTTTGATTATTCAGTATAAGTAAGTCAGAAGTCTTTTCCATTTATATGTAGAGAAGGTCCCTTTCCCTAAGGTTCATTATCACATTAGTGCTTGTGATCTAAATTGCTGTCAATACTATCATAAAAAGTTTTCACTTGCCTTTTGATTGCCTTTTTATTTTGCTGAGACCGGAGTTTGAAGTGATAATAAGTGAATAAATACAGGAAGAAATGCACTAAACTTTATTCTGTGGAGTTATTCACACAAAAAACAAAACCTAAGATTTCCAGTCAACTTATTTAAAATCAGATTTTTGTTGTTTGAGACAGAGTCTTGCTTAGTTGCCTATGCTGAGCTCAGACTTGCAATGGTCCTGCCTCAGCCTCCCAAGAGTTCTGGGATTACAGGCATGCACTACCACACCTGGCTCTGATTTTAGTATCTGAAGGCATTCATTTACTGCATGCTATTGTTTCTTTTCAGATTTTGCAGTGTCTCAGCAGCATCATATAACAGGTTTTCTTAGGATTAATAGGCATTTAACCATAGTTTTATTAAAAGGATTATGGCATAAAACTTGTATCGAGCATATTTCTTTTATGTTCTACTTTCCAAAGTAATTACCAAAAAGTATTCTCAATTTAAGGAGTCAGAGTTAAGTGGAGCACAGCAGCACTCACCTATAGTCCCAGCTATTCTGAAGGCTGAGGCAGAAGGATCAAAAGTTTGAGGCCAGCCTGAGCAACTTACTGAGACCATGTCTCAAAATAAAAAATGAAAGAGGCTGAGCATGTAGCTCAGGTCTAGAGTATCTGCCTAGTATGCAATAGGCCCTGGGTTCAATCCCCAACACTGCAAAAGACTTAGTAAAAAGGGTCTTTGTTAGGCTATTTTAGATTCTTTTTTTTTTTTTCCCTTGGGGTACTAGGGATTGAGCCCTGGGTCTTCATTCATATTGGGCTACATCCCCAGCCCTTTTTTTACTTTTTATTTTGAGACAATCTTGCTGAGTTGCCCAGGCTGGGCAGTCCTCCTGCCTCAGCCTGCCTGAGTGCTGGGATTACAGGCATGTTCCACCATGCCTGGCTGCTACTGGAGATTTCTTTAGTGATCTGATTGGCTTCTGATCCTTAGTCATTACGCATCTGTTGTATTAAAAGACACTTTTTATTAGCTATATAATTTGAATATTTGGATAGTTAATGTCTTCTCCCTGACTGAGCCAAAGCTGGGGGCGGGGTTGGGGGGGGTGTTATGTCTCTCCTCCAGTGCTGGGTACAATGTCAGTGTATAGTACACGTCAAATGAATAAATTGCTCAACAAATAACAATTTCTTATGACTTGAATGGGTTTTGTGAAATTTAAATGTACATACAATCTGGGATTACATGAATAGCCATTTTTATTACATTTTTACAGATTGCCAGTCACAGTGGCTATGTGCAGATTGACTGGAAGAGAGTTGAAAAAGATGTAAACAAAGCAAAAAGACAGATTAAGAAACGAGCAAATAAAGCAGCACCTGAAATCAACAATGTAATCGAAGAAGTAAGACAATACAGTTTGGGCCCCCTTTTTTGTTACTTATTCTCAGTAGAAAATGTGTCTAAAGATTATCTTTTTTTAAAAAATGTGTTTTTGTCGTATATCTAGAATGTTAGGTAAAAATCATCAAACCATCATTTATATCAGTCATTATTTTTTGGTGGTAAACGTAGATTACTCTGCTTATCTCCCACCCATTTTAATCTTATGATAGCTTTATTCTTCCAAGGTTTTTATTTTTATAAATGTAGAGTATATACATTAGATATAGTAAAAGTCATCATTTTTCATGAGATAGAATAGTTTGAAAATATTTTATTAATATGATGTATTCATTTTATTAACATTTTGTATGTATTTTATCTTTCATTTTTCTTATACTCTATTTAGAATTGAATGGTCCTTTGCCTTTGCTTTTTTATCCTTTCACCTCTTCCAGCTTTTTATTTTGACAATTTTTAAGCCAGCTGAAAAACTGAAAGACAAAAAGGAATGCCCAATCATCCTTTGCCTGTTACCAAATTCCTCCCATTTTGGTACATTTGCTTTATCTGTGTGTGGATGAGATTTGTATCTTTTTTGTCTTTTTTGCCAAATATGCTATGACCCCTAAAAACCTCAGCATCTGTGTCCTAACTGCAAATAGCATTGTTTTTCTTTCTTGGAGTCCAGGTTGGCCTTGAACTCACTGTGTAGTCCAGGCTGGTCTAAAACTCTTGGCCGTCCTCTTGCCTCAGCCTCCCAAGTGCTGGGATTACAGGCATGTGCCATCATGCCCATCACAAATATCATCATTAATCAAAAAAATCTAGCATAAACAATAATATTTTATGACTTTTTTTCCTCAGTCAAAAATTATGTGTTGCATTTGTTTGTCATGTCTCTGGAGTTTGCATTGCTGTTCAACAGTCCACTCATCTGTTTTTTGTTTTGGGAGATTTTTCCCCCCATCTTGTACAGCGCTGACATTTTTGAAGCATCAGACATAACATCCCACAGTCTCGCTTTTTCTGATGGCTTTCTCATGATTTTCTTTGGTTAATCATTTTGTCAAAGTGATTTTTTAAAAATCTTGTACAATTTGTTTCTTACTGAATAAATAGAGACTTAATTGTTAAATAGAGACCATTGTTACTGCTATGGCAATTTATAAAATAATCTGTTTTAAGAGCTTGATGAATTGACCATTTCTTTTTCCCTCTGTTGCCCTTGCTGCCCAGACACCTAGTACCTCAGAAGCCCAGGAGCTTACAAGGGCCTGGCTATGGGCTCTAGGCTCCTTAGCATGGAACCCACAGTTCTGGGATTTTGCATTGTGTTTGGCACCAGCAGTTGTAGGAACACCAGAAGTTTTCCTGACTATTTATTGAATTAAGATGTCTAGGAATATTGCCAGCCATGGTGGTGGTACACACCTGTATTCCTAGCACTTGGGAGGCTGAGACGAGGATCTTCATTAGTTCAAGGCCAGTTTAAACTACTTAGCAAGACCTTATCTCAAAAAATAAAATAAGAACAAAAAACTAAGAATCTTACTTAGCTTGGTTCAATAAAGAGAATTTTTTAAAATTTTGTATCTTTTTGTGGTAAAATATATTTATAATATAAAACTTATCACTTTAACCTTTTTATGTGTATAGTTCAGTGGCATTTAAGTATGTTCACACTGTTTTTTTTAGTACCAGGAATTGAACCCAGGGCTTTAGCTCTAAGCTGTCCCCATCCCTTTTTATTTTTTATTTTGAAATAGGGTCTCACTAAGTTGCTAAGTCACCAAGCTGAACTCAAACTTTTGATCCTCCTGTCTCAGTCTCCCAGATGACTGAGGTTACACACATGTATCACCACACCCAGCTCATTCACACTTTTGTGCAGTCCTTACTACTATCCATTTGCAGAACTTTTTTCATTTCAAATGAACTCTATTCACATTAAATACTAATTCTCATGATTAAATACTAATTCCCCCGCTTGCCATCCCTTTATAACCCCAATTCTACTTTCTGTGAGTTTAATTATTCCTTAAGTAGAATCATATACTTATCCTTTTATATCTGTCTTCATTCAAAATAATATTTTCAAGGTTCATCCATTATTTGAGCATAATAAAAGAGTACTTTTCTTTCAACCTACTTTGTTTTTCAGGCAACAGAATTTATCAAACAGAACATTGTGATATCCAGTGGATTTGTGGGAGGATTTTTGCTCGGCCTTGCATCTTAAGGACATGAATGATCCTTCCTAGTGGATCCAGCTGTGAGAAGAGAACGGCAGCAGGGTGTCCTCTCAGCTGCGCAGGCCACCAGAATCTCCAGAGCAAGGAGAAACAACTCGCTGGACAATACCAAATTCACGACTAGCATTTTGCCATCTGAAGCTTGGCAAATGAGTATCTGCTGTAAAACAACCTGTGTGATATTTGAACATAGTATTCTTGAGCAAAACATGGCTTTTGGCGTTTTTTTCAAAATTTGCATCTGTTTAAAAAGTAACCAGTAAGATGTCACTATTAGATATGGATATGAGAAAAAAAATCTATTGGATCTCCCAGTGCAATATTATCCTTTTATATTTAAATAAGATGTTCATTGTGCTTCATAGTATAGTGCCAATAGTTAAAAAATTTGTCTTATAGCCGGGCGTGGTGGCACATGCCTGTAATTCTAGCACTTGGGAAGCAGGCAGGAGGATCACTGCAGGTTCAAAGCCTGGACTACTTAATAAGTTCAAGTCCAGCTTGAAATACATAGTGAGACTCTATCTCAAAAAATAAAAAATAATTGTCAGGCTGGGGATTTAGCTCAGTGGTACTGCGCCTGCCTCAAGTGCAAGGCCCTGAGTTCAATCCCTAGTACCAAAAAAAACCCAAAATAATAATAATAATAATAACACAGCTTCAGTAGTAGGGCTGACTTTTTTTTAAAGATGTGTTTGAAATAAACTTGAAGAGCTGTAATGCCCTTTTGTGAAAGGCGTTAGAAATAATAGAATTATTAAAGATATTAAATAGATTTTACTGATGTAATACCAGTCCTTAGGTTGTTTTCACCCTGCATTTCTTCCCTGGCTTATATTATAACACTACTTTTCAAAAAAGGGCTCTTCTAAGGAAATACTTCAACATATCTAAAGCTCTTTTTCCTTTTTTGCCATCAGTGGTTTTAAAAATATCTTCTCATATATTACCTTCTGATTTTTGTATTTATTTACCCTGGAAGCCTGGGCAGAACTAATTTTGGACATACATATAGTTGGATCATTGATGCATTTTAACTCTGATAGTACCTCTTTTTTTATTTCTACAAATCCTAACCTAATAATTATTTTGACCTCTTCTTACTGTCTGAAGAATTGGTTTTGTATGTAATCATGAAATTGTAGCTAAAAGAGATTGTCTTCTTGACTGAGTCCTAGATTAAGCACTGTGGTTTCCAGGCTTTTGGTAGTGTTATGTTTCTTGAGCACTAAGCCAATTTACCTGTTTCTCGGGGCCGACATCATACTCTCTCAGTCTTTTTACCTCCCAAATCTTTCCAGATTATTAATTTTATTCCTAGAATTTTAGGTTGGAATTAAGAAACAGAGCAGAACAACGTGGATTGGAGTCTTCAGATTAGAAAGTCTCAGTCTGTAGTTACTGTATTGAGACCACCTTCATTTCCTAGGAAGTCCCCAGAGTACATATATATTGTGTGTTATAAACGTGACATTTCATACTTTGAAGATTGGTTACAGGCTTTGTGCTTTCATTTTCCTGAGCCTCCTTAAAATTGAATGTAGGATCCATCTTTGATTTCTTCTTTTGTTCTCATTAGAACCTCAGATATAAGCTAAATAAAACCCTGACTTTCTTAATATGAAGTGACTTTGCTTATCAATATCTGCTTTTCCTGTTTTGCACATTTCTGTGTTTCTACCTTGCTAAGCTTTTTCATGACTGTGGAATGAAAAGGAACAAATATTCATGAGTATGGTCAGGTCATATCAGGTGGGACTTGAGCTATGCTTCTGTGCGCCACACCTGTGTGACCTGATACAGCAAGAAACTATTTTAGAGCCCTCTCGTAGCTGGCTCAGTTTGTTCATTTTGAAAAACATTTATAGTGTGTTCTTTGCATGAGACACTAGGAAATTGAGGGACACAAAAATGCCTGCCCTCAATCTTTCGACTAAATAAACACTAATATATTCTTATGTGAATAATTAAAAGGCTGGGGGTATAGCTCCGTGGGGAGCCTAGGTTTGATCCCCAATACCACAAAAGGAGGGAGGGGAGAGGAAAAGAGATACCTAGGAGAGCCTGGCATGTGAACTTGACTTAGTGGCAAATGAGTACTAGAAGTAACTACTTTTAGAGTCCAAATATTCAAATGGAAACAGAAGAAGAAAACCTAGCACTTCATTTTTGCTGTACATTTCTTTTTTCTCTTTACAAGCTTTTGTTCATTTGTTTCTTTTTGTTTTTGTAGTGCTGGGAGTGGAATCCAGGGCCTCACAGATACTAGGCAAGTGCTCTACCACTGATCTATACCCGTAACCCCCCTACCCATATATTTCTAAGTATCTTGTAATATTTGAAAATATTTGTATGCAATTGCGAAACATTGCCAGGATTCTCCTTCCTGTCCTATCATTCTTTGCCCTGCCTGTGCTGTTTCTCTCATAGGTTGATGCTGCTCGTGGCAGTTGCATGTTGTCATCCTCTAACTTCTAAAGCACATAGTGCTTTTAGAAATTTCCCTTATCTGAAATGCTTAGGATCAAAGTTTTTCAGATTTCAGGTCTTTCAGATTTTGGAATATTTGCATATATATAATGAGATATCTTGGGGGTAGGACCCACATCTAAACACAAAATTCATTTATGTTTTATACACTAGCATCAAGGTAATTTTATGTAATACTTTAACATATATACATGAAACAAAGCTTGTGTATTATAGGTAAGGAGGCTGGGCAAGGTTTTCCCTCTTCAGGGGTGCTGAATAAACTATGTTGTGCATCTGCACTTTGACCATGACCCATCCCATGAGGTGTGTAATTATTTATTTGGATTTTTAGTTTTGGATTTTTCCGTTATGGATGTTCAGCCTGTATAGTGCTTTGCTCTCAGTAGACATTTGGTTAATGTGTGAACCAGTTTGTGAAATGCATTTGCTGTGCTAGATTTGGGGTCTGCCGATAGGAAACTATTCTTCCCTGTAGAGCAGGCCAGTGAGTGAATCCAAGGCTCCATCAAGAATGACGTGGTGGCACTTGGTTGCAGGGAAGAGTTTAGAGAGCCTGCTTTTGTCTGAAATAAAGATTTTTAAAAACTGTTTCAGGGCATGAAGGCTGCTTGCAAGATTTATTAAAACTGGACTGTATAAAACATAGCTACTTCTGTGGTGTAGGCATTGGAAGATATTTAGGAACGTTTTGACTGATTTTTTTATTCTTACAGTTCTCCCTATCCCTCTTCACAAAAATAATGATTTTAGTGCTTTTTCTTATTTCAGATACAATACAGATGAAATATGTTCTTTATAGAAAAATAAATCAGTGTAAAGGTTTCCTTTATTAGTTGAAATGTATACTTTAGGGCAGTGATGGTGAACCTTTTAGAGCTTTCAATGATACAGCCCACTGTGACACAGTGCTATAGGTTCACTACAGCGCAGTTCAGTGGTAGAGCACCTGCCTCGTACAAGTATGCATGAGGTCCTGGGTTCCATCCAGTACTACCAATATTTTGTTTTGTTTGTTTGTTTTTTTCAGATGTTAGGTAATACCACCCAAATCTCTGTAATGAAAGATAAATACAATAGGGTACCTCTTCCCTCCTGAATTTAAATTTCTAGTTAATGGTGTAATCAAATGATGGCATTCTATACAATTACATACAATGTACAGTTATATAAATTGGCCTAGAAATATATTAACATGTTAGTGATAAAAACAGGTTACAGCCAGGCATGGTGGCACATGCCTGTAATTGCAGCACTCAGGAAGCTGAGGTAGGCGGATTGCTGCCAATATGAGGCCAGCCTGGATTCCGTAGCGAGACTCTATCTCAAAGAAGAAAAAATTTGGGTTACAAACTGTGATCTTATTTAAAAAAAAAAATACCCAGTTGTGTGAGCATAAGTGCAAGTAAATGATCTCTGTGATTTTATCTGAGGGGTTGGTGTACAAGATTTTAATTTTGTACTTTCAACATTTTTATACTATCTAAAGGCTTTACATAGACTTAATTTTATATTTTAAAAAACTTTTTTAGAACCAATGATACGAATTTAAAATGTGCATGGTTACTATTTTATGGGGATTTTACTTTTCATTTATTGAATTTTTTATGGTACTGGAAATTAAACCAAGGGCCTTTACGCTGAACTACATCCCCAGCCCATTTTTTAACTTTAAAAAATGTTGAAAGCCAGGTGTGGTGGCACACACCTGTAATCTCAGCACTTGGGAGGCTGAGGCAGAAGGATCATCAGTAGTTTGCCAGCCTGGGCTACATAGTGAGTTCAAGACCAACCCGAACTACATAGTGAGACCTTGTTGCACACACACAAGGAAAAAAAAAAAAAGGAATGAGAAAACAGGTCAGTCTGAAGATCCTGGGTTGGGTTCAAGCTCCAGTACCAAGATATTTTTGAGATAACGTCTTAAGTTGTGCATACTGAATTTGAACTTGCAATCCTCCTGCCTCAGCCTTGGGGTTAGAAGCATATGCCACCATTCTGGGCTTTGAAATTTAAAAAAAAAATGTCTATATCAAAAAACAATAGATAGGGCTGGGGATTTAGGTCAGTGGCACCATGCCTGCCTCACAAGTGCAAGTTCCTGAATTTAATCCCTGGTACCAAAAAAACCCAAAAATAATGGATATAGTTCAAGAAGTCAAAACGGATTATAAAGCTAGAGAAAAGAAAAATTTCTTTGCTCCACATCTTCTCCAATGTAGTAGCTTTTTCCCCAAGAGAAGTTTCAACTATATTAGTTATTTTTCTTGGTATTTACTACAATCATATTTATTAGACTTTCTTTTATAATAAGTGATTTGTACTTCCTATTATGGTAGGTGTGAATTTAGCTTTTTACATCCTTGTAGTACCGATTTATTAAATTCCTGCAAAGTTTTACACATTATTATGATACTGTCTACTAATGAATGAGGACACACATCCTATAGGTCCCTTTCTTTGTGTTTGGCTGGGTCTAGCCTTGCCTTGATCCTGTGAATAGCACTTGGACCTAAAAAGCACAGTGGTTGGCGGGATAATGGCCCTGAAAGATGCCCATGTCCTGATCCCCTAAACCTGTGAATATGTTAGTTACATGGCAAAGGGAATCGAGGTTGCAGATGGAATTAAAGATACTGATCAGCTAACCTCAAAAGATTATTTTATTCAATCCCGGTACCAAAAAACAAAACAAAACAAGAGAGATTACTTTGGATTATAATTGTGGGCCCAATGTAAATTCAAAAGTCTTTCAAAGAGCAAGAAGGAGGCTGAAGAGAAAGAGATGAGACTACAGACAAATGGTCAGAGACGGTGTTGCAGGCCTTGGCAATGTAGGAAGGGGCCATGAGCCAAGAAATTCAACATTGGTGGCCTCAGAGCTGGACAAAGCAAGAAAGCAGACTCTCCTCTTCCTCCAGAAAGGGCTGCAGCTCTGTTGACATCTGGATTGGGTGATTGATTGTGACAGAGTCTTGCATTGTAGTTTGGGCTGGTCTTGAACTCACTGTCTATCCCAGACTGGCCTCAAACTCATAGTGATCACCTCCTGCCTCAGCCTG